ACTTTGGTATTGATCATCTCCAAGATTGTGTTGTTCCTGATCTGCAAGTCTGGCTCAAAGAACGTAGACTCATGCAACAGTTGCTGCATCAGCAACTTCTTCGGGTTCAACAACGTCAGAAACACCAAGCTGATAAAAACAGGGCTGAACGAGAATTTTAAGTGGGTCAATCTGTGTTTGTCAAACTTCAACCTTATATTCAGTCAAGTTTGGCCCATCGGTCCCTTCAAGATTATTCAGAAGATCAGCGCTGTGGCTTATAAACTCCAACTTTCGGCTGAGTCATCAGTGCACCCGGTCTTTCATGTCTCTCAACTCAAACTCGCCGTCAGCTCTTCTATGCAGGTCAGTGCTGATATTCCACCTGCTCCATCTCCATTCCCGTACCCATTGAAGATTCTGCAACGATGCCGTACTGACACTCATCATTCTGATCAAATCCTTGTTCACTGGTCGGAATGGCCCGAGCATCTTGCAACCTAGGAGGATGAACGAGCGTTGAAGCTTACTTTCTCGGCGGCACCAGCTTGGGGGCAAGCCGGATCTCAAGATGGGAGGAATGTCACGGTACGAGAAGATGCAGACACCAACAATGGGGAAGACGGGAACACTGCTGATCAAGAAGAAGGGAGAATGGTACCAAGCAGGCCTAGGCGGAAGATCAGGCCCAGTACACGTTATCAAGGCCCAGAGTGAGAAGCCGGCCCATGACGATGCCGTGACCATCTCGTGCGCTCACTAGCTGTTAAGGGGAGGAGGAGACGTGTAGGAGAAGTGGAACGGAGAAGGACAAACTGGCCGGTTGTGCCGGAGGCGTGAGAGGCGAGCGATTGCTCGTTGTAATTACTACTCCCCGTCAATCCATTCATACTCGTTGTTAATTGAGCCACGGTGAAGTGAGATCATAACATAAATATGGAACAGCCAAGAGTTGTACCGGCACCATTGATATTTATGTGTGGGTGGTTAGTTTCTCTACCCGTTTGTATGCCCTGGTTTGGAATGGTCTTTTTTCCAGCAATTTGGTTTTAGTTCAGATTTCAAAATGAATTGAATTGGATAGGATGTGATTTGAATCAATTTTTTTGTTTGGCTGTACATGTATTTAGTTTGTACGAATCATTTTCTGAAGTTTGTACGCACCGGGCAAAACATTTGCTGCTCAATCGACACTGGCTCCCAGTAATGCTAATGCCCGTCAGATCCTCAGCAGGAGCCAGGAGCAGATAGGCACTGGTTTCCTCACCATCCTTGGGAACCTATCATTATTATGTTACTGCAGTAGGAAATGGAGGATAATTTTTTTCTTGGGAACCTATCATAATCATTTTTTCTAGACTTATCACAAGCATTAATTCTTGTCTAATCCATGCTGCAACTCTGTTCTCACTTGCTTTCTAAAAAGCAGAGGTATTCTCTATTTCTCTATTAAAAAAAGGGGGGATCATTAATCGCTGGATTTTTCGGATGCATGTATGTGCACTAATTAATTTGATACACAGCATGCAACAAAGTCTAAACTAGGTGATTTCTCTAATTAATTAATATACCCCTGTCAAATTTTCTTTAAACTTTCTTCCAAGTATAGCAAAAAAAATGTCCAATGAAATTCTTCCCAAATCTGCTCGATCGGATTCATTGTTTCATACTTAATTTCATACATTAATAAAAGGAAAATCACTGTTGGAAATACTCCCGTTTCTTTCCCGTCGATCACCAAAGCTAAAGCCGGTGACCCCTGGCCATGGGTGCTGTTGCTGACACACCTGCAGCAGCAGTGCTGCTCCGGCTCCTGCAATTGGCTGTGTTCTTGGCCTTTGGAGTTGCAGCTGTTTGCCCTGCCGCGCAGGCCTCCACGGTTCATCACTACCATTTCCTCGTAAGCACTAGTATTTCATCCAATCTACGACGTTCCTGTATATATTTCTGTTGGTGTCAAATTTCATTGACCTTTCAGTCCTCCATATGATGTGTCAAGTTTCATGGTTTTCTTTTTGTTTTCTTTGAAAAAATAGTAGTAGTAGTAGATATTGTTACAAGATATCCTTCTTCATGGTTTGTTGGTGGGTAATGATCTTAGTTGTAGCTTTGAATTAGCAGTCAAACTTGTATTTTGTGACCATGTTGATGTTCAAAAAATGTCTCTCTCTTTTGTTCTCCAAAACAAGGGTGTGTTGTTGTTGTTCATGACTTTGTTGTCGTTGTAACTCTCTTCTTCCTATCTTTCTCTGAATTTCATCATGAAGAAGGAAATGCAAATCATACCTGGAAACAAATGGTCTGTTGTTCTAGAGAGATGTACTACCAGCTGCATCTTGCTAGCATGATCGCGTGGCTACTGTGTTTTGGTTGGCAGGTAAAGAGGGTTAGCGTCACCAGGCTGTGCCGACAGAAGAGCATCCTCACCGTGAACGGCCAGTTCCCCGGCCCGACCATCCGCTGGTTCGTACAGATAATGAGCCAGCCAATCGTCCATGGCGTCGTCGGAGTTCATGCACTGATGGTGTGAGCTCGCCTGTGCTGTGTCTATGACTATGATGCGCGTGCAGGCACGGCGTGGACCAGCCGCGGAACCGGAGTACATCACGCAGTGCCCCATCCAGCCCGGCGCCTCCTTCGCCTACCGCGTCATCCTCTCCCAGGAGGAGGGCACGCTGTGGTGGCACGCGCACACCGGCTTCGACCGCGCCACCGTGCACGGCGTCATCGTCATCCACCCCAGCCGTGGCACCACCTTCCCCTTCCAGTTCCACAAGAATCAGCGCGTCGAGGAGCTTCCGCCGATCATCCTCGGTACGTACGTTACCTCGTCGGAGACCGACCGGGTCACGATTGATCTCGTTCGTTCGGTTCCTCTGTACACGGTGCACGCAATGCCGCCGGCCGACCGACGCGCTCGCGAGTTCGCTTGCAGGCGAGTGGTGGCGGGACGACGACGTGACCGACCTGCTCGAGGAGACCAAGCGAACCGGGCGCGACGTCAAGCCGTCGGACGCCAACACCATCAACGGCGAGCCGGGCGACCTGTTCCCGTGCTCGAGTCGCGGCACCTCCGTCGTCGCCGTGGAGCGTGGCAAGACGTACCTGCTCCGGCTGATCAACGCGGGGCTCACCAACCACATGTTCTTCGCCGTCGCGGGACACCGCCTAATGGTGGTGGCCACGGACGCGCGCTACACGAAGCCGTTCGCCGCCGACCACGTCATGGTGGCGCCAGGCCAGACCGTGGATGCGCTCCTGGACGCCGACGACCGCAGTGCCAGAGGCCAGTGCCGGTACTACATGGCCGCGAGGACGTTCGTGTCGGACACCACCGTGCCCTTCAACAACAGCACCGCCACGGCCGTCCTGGAGTACACACGGACACGGCGGGGCACGCCAAGACGACGACCGCCCGTCTTCCCCACCGCCACCCTGCCGGCCATGAACGACATCGGCGCGGCGGAGGCGTACACCGCGCGGCTTCGGTCCCTGGCGAGCGAGGAGCACCCGGTGGACGTGCCGGCGCGCGTGGACGAGCGCCTGGTCGTGACGATGACCGTGAACCTGCTCCCCTGCGCGGCGAACGCGCCCTGCAGCGGGCCCGGTGGCGCCCGCCTCGCGGCCAGCCTCAACAACGCCAGCTTCGTGAACCCGTCGGCCGTCGACGTCCTCCGCGCCTACTACTTCCGCCGCTCCGGCTCTGCGCGCGGCGTGTACGAGGCGGACTTCCCCGACCACCCGCCGTCCGTGTTCAACTTCACCGACCCCGGCGTGCGGTCGTCCGGGCTCGTTGGCGCGGCCACGGAGCGGGGCACCAGGGTGAAGGTGCTGGAGCATGGCGCCGCCATCGAGGTGGTGTTCCAGGACACGGCCGTGCTCGGCACGGTGAGTCACCCCATGCACCTGCACGGGTTCAGCTTCTACGTCGTGGGGCGCGGGCTCGGCAACTTCGACGAGCGGAGGGACCCTGCCCGATACAACCTCGCCGACCCGCCGCTGCAGAACACGGTCGCCGTGCCCAAAGGCGGCTGGACCGCCATACGATTCCGCGCGGACAATCCCGGTAAGCAACCTGGCCGCCGACGACGACCATGCATTTTGGAACCAACATGGCCTTTTCTAGTTTAATTGCCATAGATTTGCAGATTGATTTTTGTGCGACTGACTTGTGCTTGTTCAATTCAGCGGTGTGGTTCGTGCATTGCCACTTTGATCGCCACATGGTGTGGGGAATGGACACTGTCTTCATTGTGAAAGATGGCAAGACTCCTGATGCCAAGATGATGCGGCCTCCTTGGAACATGCCTCAGTGTTGAGCTGATGAAACGAACAGGGCATGACTGACAACGTTTGGTCTCAAGACAGTTTTTTTAATGACATTGTTGGCAACAAGATCGAGTGGAATTGCATTTTCAGAAAGAAAGAAAAAAAGTCGTTCTTTCACTCGAAATGAAATTTCGTCTCAGAGATAAAACTCAAGTTTAGTTTTGGGTTCAGATGAAAAACAACACCGACTTCAGAAATGCAGATTGTTCACTTCAACTTTCTTTCTCCTCTGTATCCTGACCTACACCTGCTCGTTTTGCAGATGCCTGATTGCCAGTTAACCACTAATGGTACTAGCATGTTAAACATTTAAACTGAATTTAGATCACAAAGGGTGCAATGCCTGATTGCCTGCACTAGCGTACAGTTTTGTCTAAGCATTGTCGGAACTTAAAACATCGCAAATACAAACTGTACTTTTATTGGTATATATTCACAAAACGTATCAGAAACTCAGAATACAGAATGCCTTTCATCAGTGACCACCGAGTAAATGAGTAATACCATCTCATCCACATCAATCAGCAAAATTGTATCCTATTTCCCATCCCATAAAGCTACCATGAATGATCTATGTATCTGAAGTCTGAACTCTGAACCAAAATCGAGCAGTATCTATGTCCGTATTCTGTACACAAGCACAGCAGGCAGCCGCCGTGGCCGGCGTGAACAATTCAATCCAGTCATCGCCGTCAGACGAGCGCCGCAGCCGCCAGCATCAGCAGCGAGAGGCCTCCCGCTCCCAGCGCGCTGGCAGCGGCGTTGCGGGAGCCGGCCGACCTCGGCAAGGGCGCCGCGCCGGGGTACCCGTTGCCGCCAACGTCGTTCTGCCGCGGCGTGATCTTGGTCGGCCTGGCCGCCGGGGACGGGCTCGGGCTCCCGTCCGGCGCGTCCGCCACCCTCGCGTTCTTGTAGCCTGCAAACAAAACGATCGACAGGAGCTGTGGTGTCAGTTGGTGGCTGACTGGCGTCTTGCTTTCTGCAAGAACTCGTCGTGGCATGAGACATAGGTTAGAGGTGCGTGATCTCACAGTCGAACTTCTCCCAGCCTAGGACGGACTTCTCCCGGTCGAAGACGACTTTGAGGCCGGTCATGAAGTTCTCTGCAATCAAGCACGAACACGAAACGCATCAGCATCATCAACCAATCAGATCGACTGCAGGTCACTGTCAGTGTCGTCGGTCGAACGGAACGGGGTTGGCTTACGGCCGATGATGTTGAGGTTGATGCCGAGGTCATTCTTCATGATCGCCAGGCAGTAACCGACGGCACGGCGGGCGTCCGTGTCGATCAAGATGATGAACGGCTGGGTGACCGGGAACAGGGCTCCGCCCTTGGTCGTCAGGCTCACGTCCGGGATCACCACCTCTGTCTGGTTAGGGCTGCAGCTCGATCGCAACGATGGCAGATGAGATTGAGAAGATGCAAAACAATAACAAATAGAGACTTTTGTTTCTAGACTAGAAAGTGGAACAGCAGAAATTGGAGAGGGACGGACGGGCAAAGGATCGTGTTGTTTACCTGACTCTGTAGCAGTACTCGAAGGGAAAAGGGTCCGCAGAGCCGCTGCTGAAATTGGCTCTCCTCTCGCGGACCAGCGAGTTGAACTGCATGAACACGAAGGCAGCAGACACATGAGTTGAGTTGACCTTGACCTTGAGCTCGAAAAACTTAATTTTTTTTTGTAAGGTCGAAAAAATCATCTTTATCTCATCGGTTTTAGTATATCATGGATTCATGGCAAAGATTCTATACTTCAGATGCCAGACAACAACAGTGTAACAATACAACGAACATTCGACGAGCATAGAGAGACAGGGACTCACATTGGTGGCGAGCTCCGTGTACTCCGGGTCGCTGAGGTACGTGTAGGACGTGCCGGAGTCTATGACGGCGGCGAACTCCGCCGCCACTGACTTGGTATCCACGTTGATGGACGTGAAGCTCACGTTGTACAGCGTGCTCCGCCCGGTGAAGGGCGTCTCGCCCTGGCCGCGGCTGCCGGCGTCGCCGAAGTTGATGCGGCCGACGCCGTCGTCGCCGAAGCACATGGAGAAGCTGTCGGACGCGACGAGGCCGCTGGCGGCGAGCACGCTGGGCACGGACACCTTGTCCCTGCCGAGCCCCATCAGGCCGTCGAAGGCGCCGCCGTCCAGGAAATAGCCCGTCTGCACCTGCCCGCACCCGAACACGACGGGCGCCTGCAGGGCCTCCCCGGCGGCGGCGGCGCCCGGGCGCTCCCGGGTGAGGTGGAGCACGTCCTGCACCAGCACCCCGGAGGTGGAGGTGTTGGCGGACACGTACTGGACCTCGTACGGGCAGCTGCCGTTGGTCGCGGCGGAGCAGGCGTTGGGACGGTCGCACAGCGCGTTGTCGCACGTCACCTGCTTGCTCGTCGACGACCCCCGCGGGCTGTAGGGGCGGAGCCGCGTCGCGGCCTGCCCGGTGACGTTGGCGATGGACGCGCACTGCTTGCAGTCGCACGGCACCCAGAAGAGGTCGCTGCCGGTGTCCAGCGCCACCAGGAACGTCGCGTTCGGCGTGCCCACCTCCACCACCGCGTAGTACAGCCTGCATTTGCAAAACGGATCGGTTCAAGCTTTGTTCGTTTTGCTTTGGGGGGGAAAAATCCACGAGAGGTACGCACGATCCGATGTATTGTACGGTGTCGTTGCCGGCGGCGAAGGTGAGGAGCCCATCGGCGCCGCCTGCGAGGGCGCGGCGGGCGAGGAGGGCGCGGTCGTGGCGGGACAGCGCGGAGTAGTACTCCGGCGAGCCTTGGGCTGGCCACTCCTGCGCGGCGAAGGGGTGGCCCCCGGCCTCCGCCCACCGCCGGACCACCGGCGAGAAGCGGTGGTGGAGGTCGAACCCGACGCTGGACGCGTCCCCGGCGGCGACGAGGAACGCCGCGACGACGGTGACGGCCACGAGGAGGTCCTGGCAGCGGTGGTTGGAGAGAGGCCGAGCCATGACGTGGAACAGGGCTGGCCGGCTGCAGGGGGAGGCGTGCAGGGGCGGCAAGAAAGGTGGGCCGGGGTGGTGGTGGTGAGTTGGTGGGTTTGGAGCGGACGTGACATGTTTAGATGGCGGGAGGGGAGGGGAGGGGAGGAAGAGGACCGGCGGGCACAAGTCAAAGTCTCCGGTGCTGGGTGTTGCCGGCGTCAACGGTCCGGAGCGCGGAGTGAGAAACTGAGGACGGAGTCGGCGTGGCGTGGCGTGGCCGCTGTGTGGAAGAAGGTGGACGTGGACATGTGTGGTGCAGAAACGGAAGGTCGGTCGTTTCCGCGTAGGACTCCGTCATTTCTAGGACTGTTGTAATCTAGTGATTAATTAGTCACCGTTTAATGGCATGATCATTTATGGTTAGGTCCTTGTGTTTTTATGTATTTTCCGCCATGCTCTTCTTTCCTTTTTCTTCTTCTTCCAATAAAGAGTGCTTGATTTTGCCATTGCTTTGGTGTGTCTATGGAAAGTTGGGGCGCATTTGGTAATGTGTAACAGTTTCAATTCTTGCGACTTGCGATGATCACTAGAAACTCACTAGAAACATTGCCAAAACGTGCCTCAAGGTTACTTTTTTAAAAAACTGTCAGCAAATGAGCCCCTACCTATTTTTTTGTGTTTTTTTTTTATTTTACCTGGTCTAACAGGGTGCTACCGAGGAGCTTCAACCACTAGGTTGAAGGTCTGTTCTCTCCTAAAAAGGTTACTCAGCCTTCAAATGGTGCTAAACAATACAAATATAGTTCCTAAATATCGTACAATTCTAACATTGTACCGAATCAAGTCATTTTAAATTTAAGCAAACATATATAAAAAAATATTAATATTCATGATGTCAAATAACTAATACTAGACTTGTCATATCATAAAATATTAGTATACCTATTTGGTGTGATAAATATGGACGCTATTTTATTTTCTCTAAATTTTTTGATAAATTAACTAAGAACAGAACAAGAATTACATATTTTTAGGACAGATTTAGTACGTGATTGCATAGGCATTGGTCTATAGTCCGAAAATCTCTCCGCTCACGGCCTTGGGTAAGCTGCTCTAAACCGAATTTCAGTTTTTTCTTATTGTTAATATGCTTTCAACGTCTTATTAACCTATCATAGCTAGTGTGCTTTTGGTAAATCCCATTCACATATTCTATATTGACAATTGACATGTTATATTATATATCTTCAAAACTATCTTAAGTTGGATCACCCATATTCATAATCCTGGTTATAAACCACACCTGAAGCTGATCTTGCCAAAAAAAAAAGTTTCGCAAGTAGCTTCTCTGCACATAGTATTTTGAAATGTGAAGGACTGGTATGCAAAGTTGGGGGTTGGACTTTTCTGCGTCGTTGATTATTGGTGGAATGTTTGTTTTTTTTTTCAAAAAAGATTGTTGGTGAATGGTGGGAGTTGAGAAGTGCCCCCACATGACATCGAATCGCCAGCTCAAATAGTGAAAATCTTAAACCGATTTAAGGTTTTTTTTCTTAAACCAATTTAGATGTCCCCAAATCAAAATTTTTTTTCTTTATATATGGAAACCAATCTAAGGTTGTCCAACCCAACCATAGTTCATAATTGGACATTTTTTACCAAATACCTAGATTACTAAACTCTAAGGTTGTCCAACCCAACCATTTGCCCTAGATTACGCTCAATGCAAAATAAATAACTAAATAAGTTGTCTTATTATTCTGTTTGAAGACATATCTATCTATCTAAGATTTTTTTATTTTGCTGTCTATATATGTTTAAAACTCTGAAGGCTAAGAAGGGTTGTTGCGCCGGCTGAGACGCTCAGTTTCTGTGCTTGATGCTCTGCATGTTAACGTCGTTGACTCTTGGTGCTCTACAAAATTGTCAACGGCGTGTCAGTGCATGTGCATGTCCCAGGGGTGTTGAGATCCGGTGACTAAAATTTAAGATGTGTCACGTGAGGGTGTCGTATGGAGTGTTCGGATATTAATAAAAAAACAAAATTACAGAATTCGTCAGACTCTCACGAGACGAATTTATTAAGCTTAATTAATCCGTCATTAGCATATGTTTATTGTAGCACCACATTGTCAAATCATGGACTAATTAGGCTTAAAAGATTCGTCTTAAAAGATTCTGTGCAATTAGTTTAAGTAATTAGTTATAAATGCGTATATACAAATATTAGATGGGACGTAATTAAAGTTATATTTAACGATGATGGACGATGATGTTATGATCTTTCTGTTTCTAAATATTTAGGGCGTGTTTAGTTTAGGAAATTTTGGTTTTTGAACATTTTAAAGTATTTGGCAAAAAGTCCAATTAAAGTATAGTAGAAGGAACCAAACACCGCTCAGTCCCCGCGACGATGATGGACGGATGTTATGATCTTTCTGTTGTATTTAGTTCTAGCTAGTAGCGTGTGTATGCGTTTGTTTTATAGGATAAGTTCAAGTGGACATTATAAAATTTTAGAAATACTACACGACGATTGATACTTATAAGTTGGATATTCGTAGATATATGTTTTATAGGATGCCGTGTGTTTACCGCGTCCCGAAAAGAAACAGTCGGTTACTCGATCGGTCGTATACATACTAGCACTGTACTGTACAGCCGTAGCCGGTAAAAGACACTGTGCACACGTTCCTTTCTCGGACCGCCGGCTTCTATACGACAACGCCTGAGGTCCCTACAATATGTCTCCATCATACGTCACGCCGTGAGCGAAAGGGAAAAGTTAAAAGAACGCAGGAAATTGAATTCAGAAAAGTTTAGCACATCACGACCATCTTGCTGAAAAAATGTTTTACTTGATTTGAAAAAAAAGGGCAGGATGTGACTTCGGCCTCGTTAGTTTTACATCAAACTAAGGGAGTTTAATCACCTACAAGTCAAAATTCCCTCAATCCTCTATGACCCTTTGGCGGACAAGCCGAACTCATTCAAGTCATCCAATCCCCTTTAATTTCTTTGGACTTTGAGATTCGGCTCTAACTTTTTCAGCTTTGCTCCCAATTTTACTAGATGAACAAAGACAACCTCATTAATTTTGCTTCAAAAAAGGTGAAGTTATGGGACCAACTTCAGATATTTTTGTGGAGTACATAAAATGGTACTTTAGAAACCTGCTCCATAGTAAAGGTTCATGGAGCAGAGTTGCTTTTGGTGAAATAGAGCAATGCTAAACAAATTTTTTATTTTTTCATGTCCGCATGTGGCAACATGAGCGGACCGATCATTGGCAAGGAATGCACCTACTTGACGGCTCATCCACGACGGCACCTCTATCCTCTTATGTCCCTTTTTTCAGTGTCGTAGCATTTTTGCGTGAGGTGGTGTGCCTGCATGCAGCTGGCGAATTTCCACGCGTAAGGCCACTAGTTAAGCACCTAAAAGTACATGATTTAGTAGACATATCTCTGTTCCACATATAATTGTGTGCAACAAATTAAACTGATTCGAGTTGTCACAAACATTTCCATTTCCATTGTTGGTTGTCATTCCTACTTCCTACTAATTATGATTCTTCTACAACTTCTTATTACACATTTGCACTTATACAGAAACAAAAGGTTGGCTTAGATGTATAATAGGCGCAGGACCAAGAAAAAAAAGGATTATTAATGGCTTTGTCCCCTCCATTGTGTAAGTTTACAAAATAAAAAGTAAAACAACTTTTGCTAGTTGCCACAAAAACACAAATATTGAACAACGGAACTATGAAAAAATAAAAACGGAAGATCGGGTATTTCATATTTGGTTGGAGCAATTGAATTAGTGAACATGTTGTTTGTACTCATGTTCCTATGCACTGTACCCCTATTTTTCTACAGCCTTTTAGAAGGGAAGAGGCCACACAATGCAGACATGGCGGGGGACATCGACGGACGGCGGAGCACCTCTACTGCGTGCTCGTCTTCTTCAGGTCGGCTCCAATCTCATAGTTGTCGTTGAAGCAGTAAGGAAGGTGGTAGTCTTGTCCACGCGTGAGCGAAAGAGAGCACGTGGCGGTAACACAATGGCGTAAATAGTTGTGTGGGTCTGCGCCAATTATCACCCGATTTTAAGGATAAAATGGGATGCATAATCTTATGCGCGTCCAGAGATCGCCAGTTGTCACACCCGATTTTAAGGATAAAATGCGATGCATAATCTTATGCGCGCCCAGAGATCAGTCACACATATAAACCGACAAATTATAAATAATATCATCACAAGTGTTTATTACATCACGAATAATAAGACATAGTCTTCACATAAATGTAGCGGAAGTATAAAGAAAAATCTCTCGTGGAAGCTCCATATCACAGGGACGTCAACTGGTTGACCTCAAGTCTAGTAATCCTCAGGAAAGTCATCATTACCATAGCCATCTATTACCCATCCGGAATTTTTATCCAAATAATGAAAATAAATAATCGTAAATACGTGTCGTACTCAACAAGTGTGGCATGGGATTCATGAGGCTCAAAAGGATGGATACCGGTTTAACAACATTCAGCTTTTAATTGTCACAATTTTAGCATAAGAGTAGCAACAAGTTGTTTCAACCCCGAAGTAAAATACATGATCAATGTAAACATGAATAATGAATAGTATAAACGGATAATTCTTAATGATCATCTATTCCATAAGGGTCCAATGTCACTCATGACCATGAGCACGACTGATATACCAGTTTTACACTCTGCAGAGGTTGTACACTTTCACTGTGAGTCGTGATACCCATATGCCCGGATTTATTACTCCCAAAACACTTCCAAGGTGAGCAGGCAGGGGTCACTATGAAGCCTTTCAAAGATTCGTCTAACAAGTTAGGGCCATTAGATTCACTCGACAAACAGATGTAGGAACCCCCTGTCGAATAGCACAATTCCATCACGGCTATACACATAAGAGTAGAGGTTGTCATATACTCGATTCGTCAAGCTATTCTTACGCCAAAAAAGGTAACCGCTAACAAGCTAGAAAAGATCCTC